GGTTGTCTCTTTCAATGAATCTACAACTCCCTTTGAGGCTAAATTTAGAATATGAGAATATAATTGAATAATTTTTCTCAACACTTTACCTTTTCTTTGTTGAGATCTCTTTGATCTGCTCTACCAACTTTCCTATGGGTCACAGTACTCTCTTGGCTCCATAACAGTAAATCTCCGAACATTGCTCATCCACAATTATTTAACAAATCTTCCTTTGACATTTCTATTACTCTATAATATAAATGTATCATCCTCATCTAACAAACTCCAAGGCATCCCTCTATCAGCTCACTTAACTTTCTTCCTCTCCAACTCCATTATCACCCTGAACAATTTTAGCACACATGATTTAATCTAGACATTACCACAGCCCTATAAGTTTCTCTACAACATAACAATCACCTATATTATACTTCAGTAAATTACTTACAAGTTATTTATTAAGTAAACCCTGTATGACATCTTCTTAATTTTCAACCCCATCCTATTTTTACACAAAATCTGTTCTTCACTCTCATTAAAATAGAACTTAATTCTTTCACACCTAATTTATCAGCTGTTCCCTGGCTTCCTTTGATCCCCTATCCAACTTTGAACCCATGACCACACATTTCAAATAATAATACTGTCTCACTAGCACTCTCAAAGCACTTGCCTAACCCCCTTTACACCATAAGCCAAACATGCTGACCCCTAAGGAAGGTGTTCTTGCTCCTAAATTGCTGAGTATTGGGGCAGAAAATGGTTTAACTCTATAGATTCCTCACTAAGAAGTTGGGTATTCTGGTTTCAAAAGGTCCTCAAAGCTATATGGTCATCCAACTAGTCTTCCCAATCCCATTGCTACTCAAGGAAAACAAAAACTATGAACCATGAACTTGCTTCTTATCTTCCCTTTCTCACTACTGATTACATACTGGAATTACCTAGATCATGTCTGTGTAAATGTCATTGCCTTGGGCCTATCCCAAAGCAAATCAGAATGTCTGGGTATGGGAACCATATATTGACTCTACATTTTTTATTCCTTTCCAAAGCTTCACCCATTCTTTCTTGCTTCTCTAACAACCTACCACCCATTTGCAAATTATCTTAATTTTTTTATAATTACTACACACATTTTCTCTCATAAATCTAAAATTATTCTAAAATGTAAACTTGCATTACAAAACTAGAGGCCCAGTGCACAAAATTTGTGGGGGCAGACATCCCTCTTGCAGTCCGGGACCCCTCACTCCTTAACGCCTGCCTGCTCGCTGCTCCTTAGCTCTGCCATGGAGGCGGGAGAGGCTCCGGCCACCGGTGCTGTGCTCGCCAGCTGTGAGCCTGGCTTCTGGATGAGATGCGCTCCCCCTGTGGGAGCACACTGACCACCAGGGGGCAGCTCCTGCATTGAGCGTCTGCTCCCTGGTGGTCAGTGTGCATCATAGTGACTGGTTGTTCTGGTCATTCCACCACATTGGTCGCTTAGGCTTTTATTATATAGATAGGCTATAATAAGCAAACAAATAAATAAAGGTTATTTTGAGCTCTGTTATGTAAAAAAATTAAGAGTCCAACCCTGACCAGTGTGGCTCGGTTGGTTGGGTGTCATCCCATACATACACCAAAAACATACCCAGTTTGCAGGTTCAATCCCCAGTCAGGGTGCATATGGGAGGCAACCAACTGATGTTTCTTTCTCTCTCCCTCCCTTCCTCTCTCTAGGATCAATAAACAAACAAACAAAATTAAGGGTCCATATTTAACAATTCATTTAACAACATGTTACATAAAATCATTTAACAGTATATTATGGTTAATGTTATCAGAATATATACAAGTATATGTAACTGTGAAATAAATACTTTGGTAATAAGGTATTTCTAGACTATACCTGCCAGAAATACAATGATCAAATAAATATATTTTTTCACATAGTAGTGAATATAGGAATTCAATTAATTCAATTTTTAGATACAAGAAAATGATTTTCCTAAAACATATTTGGTATTATAGCATGTCAAAAGACATTTTGTAGTTTTAGGGGAAATAACTCTTACACAAAAATGTCAATTAAGGTGGTATTTTTCCTGCCTAGGGCTTCACAGAATCCCTTAAGATATACATACCTTCCCTATCCATACATGCTAGCCCAATTCTGACAGTAGTATTAATGCTCACTTGAGTACTGGTCCTCAAATTTGATAGGAGAGAAACTCGGAATCATCTCAAGTGCTGTTTTTCAAAATACTTTTGTTCACTATCCTCTCTGCCCACTGTGAGCCATGCCCTATTATATACTCACTATCAGGTTGTGATGAGATCCTTGAAAATTTCAGAACACTGAAATTCTCTTTCTGCAAACTCCTATGGACAGAACCGTTTTGTCTTTTTCATTGACCATGTCACTAATAACGTCCATGTCCACTAGAGCTAATAATGACTCAGATATTTTTAAAAAGTCTACAGATGAATATACAATGTGCAGAGTTTGGATGTGGAGTTACCACACAAAAAGCAATTATTTTTTGGAAAACAGTGGTCAAGTGGTCAGCCATGAAGAAACAGACAATGGTCAAGGACAAACAACAGCTGTCGTTAACCATTGAAGAAATGGAGTATGCAATTTAAAGTCTCCTGAAAAAAAAAATCTCTAGGCCTGAATGGTTTTGCTGAAGAATTCTATCAAACATTTAAAGAAGTAGTAACACAATCTTCTAAAATTGTGTAAGTTTTCGCAATCTCTTCCAGAATAATAAATGAGGAGATAAGATTTCCCGATTCACTTTATGAGGCCAATATTGCCCTGGTACCAAAACTAGACAAAACAGCATTAAAATGGTGACCCAGATCAATATCTATCATAAAGTTAGATGTGAAAATTTTCAACAAAATATTAGCAAACAGAATGCGGCAATGCATAAAAAGAATAATATTCCACAATTAAGTGGGATTTATTCCAAATTGTAAGACTGGTCCAACATTGGAAAATCAAAGTAATTCACCATATCAACAGGCTAAAGAAGCAAAATCATATTAATTCACATCAATAAAAATTTAACAAAATCCAACACCCATTCAGGATAAAAACGCTCAGCAAACTGCAAATAAAGAACCTCCTCAACTTGAAGGGCATCTATAAAAATCCTATTGCTATATCATACTTAATGATGAAAGACTGAATGCCTTCTCTCAAAGATCAGATCAAAATTTAAAACTAAGCTTTTAGAAAAAAATATAAAAATCCTATTGCTATATCATACTTAATGATGAATGCTTTCTCTCAAAGATCAGATCAAAATTTAAAACTAAACTTTTAGAAAAAATCATAGGGAAAAAATTTGGGGATCTAGGGCTAAGCAAAGAGTTCTTCAATTTTACAAGGAAAGTAAGAACTGTAAGAGGAGAAAGTTATAAATTGAAGCTCACCAAAATTAAAATCTGTAAAGGATTGCATTATGAGCATGAAAAGAAAGCCATGGACTGGAAGAAAATATTTGAAAATCACATATCTGATAAAGAACTAGCATCTATAATATATAAAAAACTCTGAGAACTCCAATTAGAAATGGGCAAAAAACATACATATTTCACTGAAGATATATGGATGATAAATAAGCATGCAAAACAATATTCGGCAAGAGAAATAAGCACATAAAAAGATGTTCAATACCATTAGCCATTAGAGAAATGCAAAATAAAACCACAATGAGACAGCACTCCATCTCTATCTAAGTGACAAGGGCAGTGCTGGTGAGGAGATGGAAAAACGACTGCTGTTGTCACTTACACACTGCTGGTGGATGTGCAGACTGATACAGCCCCTCTGGAAAACATTTAGACAGTTTCTTGTAAAGCTGAGCAGGCAACCACCATACAACCCAAGCACTATACTGTCTGGTGTTTATCCCAGAGAAACAAAAACTTAAGTTCACACAAAAACCTGTATAAGAAGTTTCACAGCAGTTGTATATATCATGGCCAAAAACTAGAAACAACACTGATGTCCTTTAACAGATGGGTGGTTAAAGTGTGTATTTCCGTATCATAAAATATTACTCAGTAAAAAAAAGATTAAACTATTGATAAATGCAACAACTTGGATGGATTTTGAGAGAATTATAGTAAGTGAATGAAAAGCAAACCAAAAAGGTCATACACTGTATGATTCCATTTACATAACAGTCTTGACAAAATACAGAAATAGAGAACAAATTTTGGAGGTCGGGAGTGGAATGGACGTGGGGGTGGCAATAAAGGACAGCAAGAGAGATTCTTATGGGGATGGACCTGTTCTGTATCTTGACTGTATCGATACCAACACCCTGCTGGTGAGAGTGCGTATAGTTCTGCAAGATGTTACCACTGAGGGCCAACGGGTAAAAGGTATATGATTTGTTCACATTATTTGTTTTACAATTGCACATGAACCTACAATTATCTCAAAATAAAAAGTTCCATTAAAAAACAGCATTTGCTACATATGTATTATATTTGTACTTGTCCAAAATTTTCTTTAGGCTATTTCTACTGAAAAATACTTCATGCATTTCAAATTGTTTACTTCTGTTTCACAGGAAGCAAGTTCTAGTCATTGGAGAGATTGAAAACTAAATGGACTTCCCTAGTAAGTGTGTCCTCTCTATAAAACTGTTAGAATAGATTAGTCTAAAGGGACTACTTCACTGTCTACAAGATATAATTAGGTGACCTACAAGGCATTATTGAAACCAAATTCTATCATATTCTTACCTTTAGATAGGACATACTAATAACTATTTTTCATGATTATATATGAAAATGGTCAATAAATATGTTACATAATAAAATAACATTGGCCTATTAATGTCATTTCCTAGAACACAATGATTTTAGCTTACTTTTAAATGCTCATAGTTATATATGAATAAAACATTGAACAACTGTTTTATTCTATTATGTACATTTACCTTTCATATAATAAAGTAAATATATAAGCACGGGATAGTAGTTTTTTAAAATTTTAAATGCTTGATTACCTGCACACAGAACACTGCCGCTGAGGCTGAAGAGCCGTGAACATAACAATCATAGAATAGTTTCGAGGTGGTGCCTTTATAAATTTTCGGAATTTGTCGCCATTCATTCGGAAGATTGAGCGCCTGGAACTCCATTCCATCAACTGTTCTACTTTTTCGGCTAACAGATTCTGCAATTAAATATAGGAATTTAAATTTACACAAGGTTAAAGTCCTTCAGTTTGTATTTCATATAAGCAGATTACATGAGATTATATTTTAGCCAATGTCATTTTCTGTTAAAAGTCCTTGTTTTGGTGAACAATACCAGAAGTAATAAGACACATCAACATCACGTATTCCCTGAGATCCGCAGATAAGAGCACATCATCTCCATGGTATTCTTAGCAAAAAGATAAACCTCAATCTAATCATGAGAAAACATTACACTGACACAATTTTAGTAACAGTCTATAAAATAACTAACCAGTGCTCTTCAAAGGTATCAAGTTCATGAAAGACCAGGAAAGGCTGAGGAACAGTAACATGGAGAAGAGGGAGAGATAACAACTAAATGTAATATGGAACCTCTCACAATCCAGGACCCCTCGGGGGATGTTGGACAGCCGTTTTGGCCTGATCCCCGCAGGCCAGGCCGAGGGACCCACCGGTGCACAAATCCATTCACCAGGCCTCTCATATGCATATAAGATCTTTGGTTAATCTCTTCCCACCCTCCCCCCTTCCCTCTAAGATTCATCAGTCTGTTCCATGTTTCCATGCCTGTGTGTTGAGTGTCTGCCCCCTGGTGGTCACTGCACATCATAGCTACCAGTCAAACAGTTGCTTAGGTTTTTATATAGAGATACACATTGTTATTTATAAAAAACTTCTAAAATAAACATTAATCAAGAAAGTACAAGATCTCTTTTTTTTTTTTGAGTATTCACACAAGGTTGTTAACTTTTGTTCCACTTTCCACCCACAAGGAGCAGAGTGTTCAGTTTTTATATCTCTTGCCTCAAGCAACTTTCCCATTTTAAAGTCAACAATCCAAGAGCCAGAAGCACCTGAAATTGCTATCAGATATATGGCTTTGATCATTGTTTCAGAATGCTCTCTGAACATTCGTCACTGATAAAGAGCCAATGACAATTAGCCACACTCATTTCAGAAATTATAAAAAATTAAGCTTATTTTTTAAATGCAGCATTATCATCCATACTTTAATATAAGGCTTACAACAAACAAAAAGACATGCTTAAAGAGTACTTCCAATGTGTCAGTTACCATACTAGGCATACAACATGTCAGGTGCCAACCAACATCCCTATTCCACAGAGAAAAAAAATTCAGGTTCAGAGAACCTAAATTACTTACTCAAGATCAAATTACTAAGTGGTTAAGCCTGGATTCAAATTTGGCTTTTCTACTGTTAATTCCTAGGCTATTTATCCATGTAATAGTGGTGTGTGTGTGTATGTTATATGTTCATGTGTGAGATATCTCTGTATACACACACACAGTCTTTAAAAAAATGTGGGGAACCATATAAACAAAAGTAGACTTTTCTACACAATGAGACAGTTTATTATGAAAGTTCCTCTAATGCAGTGGTTCTCAATCGTCCTAATGCCACGACCCTTTAATACAGTTCCTCATGTTGTGGTGACTTCTCAACCTTCCTAATGCCGCGACCCTTTAATACAGTTCCTCATGTTGTGGTGACCCCCAACCATAAAATTATTTTCGTTGCTACTTCATAACTGTAATTTTGCTACTGTTATGGATCGTAATGTAAATATCTGAGATGCTATATGTGTTTTCCGATGGTCACGACCCACAGGTTGAGAACTGCTGCTCTAATGTAATTCCCTGATTAGGCCTAGAAAATAATTCTTTGTAAGCATGCATTCTTTATGGTAAAAACTAGGCCAAGTAAATAAGTTAACATGTAGTTTACAGATGTTTAAAGGTTTTAAGATAATATAGAAAGATGTATTTTTAAAGTACCAATACACTTGAAGAAAATAATAGCAAAAATACTGAGCATTAAATATGGATTTAGAACACATAATTAAAGAGAGCCAAGTCCCAGACTCTATTTAGGAAGTAGTGTGCAAAAGTGAGCCGTTTGATTAGCTGTCTTCTTCATACAGAAAAAAAGGTCTGGGAAGGGAAGGACATCATGGTTGACACACTTTCAAGAGCATCCTATATAATAAAAGCCTAATACGCAAATTGACCGAATGGCCGAATGACCAATGGAACAGTCAGTTACTATCGTTATGATGTGCACTGACCACCAGGGGACAGACGCTCAATGCAGGAGCTGCCCCCAGCCCCCAGGCCAGCCAAGGCGGGTGCCAGCGGGGGATGCCCCCGATCACTCCGCCAGTTGCCCCACAGAGGGAGGCAACCGGCGGCGGCGGTGGCAGGGCAATCAGGGGACAGGGACAGCCAGCGAGTGGGCTGGCACCAACCCCCCCTCCGATCACCCGGCGGTTGCCTCCAAGGCGGGTGCCAGTGGGGTCAACTGATTGCCCCACATCGTTCACCTTGCAGAGGGAGGTGAACGATGGCGGCGGCAGGGGGTGGGGCTGGCAAGTGGGCAGCACCAGGCCAGCCAAGGTGCGTGCCAGCAGGGGCCCCCTGATCGTCCCACCAGTCACCCCACAGATTGGCCCTGATTGCCAGTCAGGCCTAGGAACCCTACTGTGCACCAATTTCGTGCACCGGGCCTCTAGTCTATTATAAAGAAGGTTGAGCTAATTCTTCAAAGAAAGTATTGCAAGGTGATATAGTAGAAACATTCAGTAAGGAACAGAAAACTGGTCAATGTGAATTCAATGACCTAAGAAAGAATCACAGGTTGAGCTACAGTCTCCAAACAAGGTTTATTCCACTGTTGCATTTCTCTGGGACAGGACTGTAGCCCTATTTAAGGGCCAGGTTAGGTGCATTTGTCCCTTTGACGTATGTATTTCCATTTCAGGGCCATCTGTGCTCCTTTCTGTTGGAATTTTTTTCCTTCTGCTACCATTTCATTTCTGCAGAACTGCTTTCATACTTCACCACCTTCTCTGTTTGGGTGTCCCTTTTGGTCTCTTAAAGAGAGTAATACTCAGGAACCTTGATTCCCTATTCCCAAGGGAACAAGTAAAAAAAAATTTCTGGGGGAACTTTGTGTATTTCAGGGAACACAGACACATCCATAAGATGGAATATAATGTAACCTTTAAAACTGAGAAAGCACCATATGTCTATTTTTAAATTAGAAAGAATTCAATTGGCTCAAGTCCGAATGATGGTTCTGTATTTATATGCAACTAGAGGCCCGGTGAACCAAAATTTGTGCACTCGGGCGGGGGTGGGGGGGGTCCCTCAGCCCGGCCTATGCCCTCTCGCAGTCTGGGACCCCTCGGGGGATGACCACCTGCTGGCTTAGGCCCACTCCCCGGGGGATTGGG